TCTTCAGGAAGGAGTTTAGGAAGGGGCCATCAGAAAATTTCATTTTCTTCTCTGTTTACCCTAAAACTATTGTTACCCTTTACCATTTCCTTACTGATGCCCCCACAGCATCCTTCAACTTTGTCTTTATAGGTATGTAGTTTTTGGTTGGGAAATAAGATACATGATTAGAAATAGGAACTATATATGTAGACACTGAGGCAGAAATGTTTGTAATAGGTTTGGAATAATAGTGAGTCTTTGGAACTTTTTCTAGGATGTGAATTGATATAGGGTGCAGTTATATATAACTGTTACAGCACTAAATAGTTTGTATCACAATTGTTTTCTTTTCTGCTCCCACATCTATAGGGGGCAGACTTTTCAAGCAGAGGTCATAGCTTTGTATTCTCCATTATCTCAGTCTTCTCTGTGTTTCTCATTTTCCCAAAAGATCCTAAGGTTTCCTTCTTTTTGTCACATTAGTTCCAGCTGAGAATCACCCTCATTGAACTCCTGAACTGAAAACAGATATCACTGTTTCCTGAGGTGGTAGTTTTCTCTTTGCCCCATAGTAGATTCTGATGGCCCCCTTCCCTGTCCCTCTCTTTGTCTCTGGAGGCTGATAGCTGCAGGTTTGAATCAGTGGGCTCTGACATGAAAGGGGAGACAATGTTAGACGATCTAAGGGCAGGAGGAGAGGGTAATCAGGGTGTTTGTTTCCTTCTCTCCTTCCCTTTTTTACAGCAGTGTTCATCTATGGCTACAGTTCCTGTTTGACAGTCCCTTTTCCAAGATCCAGTTCTCACTGAATTCTGATAACTGTTTCTTCTTGCTCATTCAGGCTAGGAGTGGTAATAGATTTCTGCTGTAGCTAATCCTCAGATACTTCCATCCTTGTTGATTCCTTAACCTGAATCTTACCTTCATAAATAGCCAATTTTTAAAACTTAAACTCTTTTTGAGTGTGCAGTCTCTTTACTGCTGGGACCCTAGTTGATGTTTCCCGAGCCTATGTTGTCCTCAGAAGCCCATAGAAGACCAAATAATCAAAGAAGGAGACCAATTAATGTGACACCTGACATGTGCACCTTTACAAATCTCACCTTTCCTTGGCTTTTGAATTTTCCATGCTTTGAATAATTTTCTCTCTTTTAGTAGCTGCAGAAAGTTTGCTTTTTGCCCTTTCTTTCCTTTTCAGCAGTGAAACCTGCCTCTCATTTTCACCTATCAGAGGTTCCCAAACTTTCTCGATTCACAACATCCTCAGTGTTCCAGTAATTTTTTTACAGTGCGTCTCTAGGCCAAAAGAAATGCCCAGTAGTTCCATTTATTAAGAAGTAGTTACTGGGAACTCCCTGACAACCAGTGGTTAGGACTCCACGCTCTCACTGCCAAGGGCCCGGGTCCGATCCCTGGTCAGGGAACTAAAATCCCACAAGCCGCATAGTGTGGCCAAAAATTAAAATTAAAATTAAATTAAAAAAAGAAGTAGTTACTAACAAAAAGCTTGTGCACAGCAAAGGACACCATCAAGAAAATGAAAAGGCAATCTACAGAATGGGAGAAGATATTTGCAAGTCATCTATCAGATAAGAAATTAATATTGCAAAATATATAAAGAACTTGCACAACTCAATAGCAAGAACAACAAAAAAATAATCTGATTTAAAATGGGCAAAGAAACTGAATAGACATTTTTCTAAAGAAGACATCCAGATGGCCAACAATTACATGAAAAGGTGCTCAACATCACTAATCATCAGGGAAATGCAATTCAAATCCACAGTGAGGTATCATGTTAGCATGGCTGTCATCAAGAAAACAAGAGATAAGTGTTGGCGAGGATGTGGAGAAAAAGGAACCGTTGTGCACTGTTGGTGGGAAGGTAAATTGGTTCAGCCACTGTGGAAAACAGTATGGAGGTTCCTCAAAAAATTAAAAATAGAACTGCCATATGATCCAGCAATCCAACTCTTGGGTATATATTCAATGGAAATGAAAACAGGATATTGAAGAGATATCTGCACTCCCATGTTCATTGCAGCATTATTCACAATGGCCAATATCTGGAAACAGTCTGTGTCCATTAAAAGATGAATGGATAAAGAAAATGTGGTACATATGTACAATGGAATATTATTTAACCATGAGGTGGAAGGAAAAACTGCCATTGTGACAACATGGTTGGACCTGAGGACATTATCCTAAGTGAAAGAAGTCAGACAGAGAAAGACAAATATTACATGGTATCATTTACATGTGAAATCTTAAAAAGTCAAACTCATAGAAACCAAGAGTAGAAAAATGCTTGTATGGAGAGGTTGGTAAAAAGGTACAAACTTTCAGTTATAAGATAAATAAGGTCTGAGCATCTAATGTATATAGTGCAATGTATAATGGTGACTAGTTAATAACACTATATTGTGTGAATGAAATTTGCTAAGAGAACAGAACTTAAATGTTCTTACCAAATACAAATATTTTGTGTGTGTGTGTGTGTGTGTATGTGTGTAAAATAGGTGATAGATGTGTTAATTAGATGGGAGGAATTCTTTATTAGTATATATATGTATATGTGTATCAAATCATCATGCCAACTACTTTAGAAAAAGTAGCTGCTATTTACTTTTGGGCCTTACAGAGACTTCAGACAAACCATAGATTCCTTAGTTCTACCACAGTTTCTTCTTTGATCCTAGGTTCAGATTCATAAGACGACAAAATGAAACACAAGTTGGGACAGTTTGCCAGTATTGCCAATCTGTACTTAGCTCAGATCATACTGCTCAGCTATTTTGGCAGTGGTTTTACTCCATGTAGAATTTTGTTGCTCTTGAGGTTTGACATTACCTACAAACATGCCCTTGCTTTATGGAATGGACCTGCTTCATCTGGAAAATTGCCAGCAAATGAGCAGTCATACTTGCAGTTTAAATTCAATAAATATCAGTGGCATTTCCCTATATGGAGGGTACTTTGCTTTTCAGATACTATATCCCTGCTTTACTGAATTGCAGTAGATGTTAGGAGTTAAAGGAGGATTGGGGTTCCATGCAACAGTGTTAGGAGTAGACATAAAATATCTTAATCTGCTTTGGACTGTAGCCACTCTCCCCCCTTAAATTGTAGAGAGAGAGATACAGGGAACAATGCAAAGTAACAAAAAGTGAAGAGCTTTATACCTAAAATTTCATGTAGAACTCCAGGAAAGCTAATGTAGGCCTTAAGATAACCTTCCATCCCAAATCTCAGGTGTTTCTAACATACTTCAGGTTGAAGAACGGAATAAACAGACAGAGGAAAGAGAAATGAGTTAATATGTGAGTTTTACCAGAGTGGCTAGAAAAAATATAAAGGAGGTGATTTGACCTTCTCTCATCCAGAGAAAGATATACTCTTACAATTTTAGCAGTGTGAAAAGTATAAGAACTTTTAAGAATTACTAATTTCGTCCCTAGTATCTATACCACTTGCATTTGCCTTATCCATAACAAGTTTTCCCCCCTGATACCGTGGAAGAAGATAGGAGAAAGTAGACCTCTCCTTTTCTAATCTAAAATAAAGTAGTCTAAATTACCAACCCCTGGTTCAGTTATGCAGTTTATTTCCCAAAATAACTGTTTTCAAAATACTTAAAATTTTAACTTGAATGGAATATTATAGCATTAATACCCACCACTTCTAAATGCCATTTGCTGATCTTAAAATAATTATCCTCTACTCATCCTTACCCTTTCCTGACAAGTATTCTCTCCCATAGTAATTATGTGTCAGAGAGAAGCAATGAGGTAGGAAGTTCTGAGCTCATATACTCACTGCCAAGATATCTTTTTCTAGTCCTTTTTTTCTGTCTATGAGACCTTTTGGCACATTGTGTCTTGACTCATTTTTTTCATGTTCTGTTTTTTATAAGTGTTTTCTGTGTTCATTTGCATCAACTAGTTTTATTATTTAAAGTCAAATGGCTTTTTATTTTGCCTACTAGAAGCTTAGATAATAAGATGCATAAGTTCACAAATTGAAAGTTTTTATATGAAAGAAGTAATTTATTACTTTGTTGAGCCTAAAGGGAAAAACATTTATCTCTTTTTGTGGGTGATCCACAAAATCCTGAAAAACAAAATAATGGAGAAGTCTTATGCTTTATAATTAAAATATATGCAGATTATGACTTATATGTAGAGGTCAATTTATGGCTTGACCTCCAGCTTATAAACTGTGTCCTACAAGTACATTTAATAATTGATGGTTAAAACCTTAAATATATTTTCCACATAAGCATTATTTTTAATGACTACATAATGTTCCCTCATGTAGATATGGTATAATACTCTTAAGTTGTCCCTGGTTTTGGGGGGGCTTTTTTGTTTCGTTTTGTTGTGTTTGATGTAATAAATGAACATTTTTCTGTATAAAACTTAGTTTCCTGTTTGCTACCTACCTACGTAGGCCCCTGTAATCACTGGTCTTATTACCTGGTGGTATTCTTTAGAAGATTAAATGACCTAACATTCTTAGTGTTTGGTATAGTGTGTGGCACACTAAAAGTGGAGAATAAATGCTATTCACAGACTTTTTCCTGATCAACATTGGGATAAAGAAATAAGAAGGTTTGAAATGGGTTCTTTGAGGTGAACATTGAAGTCTAACAACAGCACAGCCTATGAAGCCAATAGGAGAAGGAAAATCCAAATGATTGAAGCTCTGAGATGGAAAGAGTTTCGGTGGTCATTCAAATGTATTGATTGTTCCCAGTTGTGTATTCTTTATCTAAAAGGAATACCTTAACTGGAGAATGTTGGAATATGAATGTCTTCCTTTTAGTTAAAATGTGTAAGTTTGTTAAAGTAATATATAATAGAGAAACATTATAAAAGCACTCTTTAAAATAGTGCAACCGTTGTATATGTTATCTTTGTTTATTGTATTTGTATTTTATATATTTTATAATATTTTATTCACATGTGTGTCCAATGATGTGTTCCCTGTTTTCTTTATTTTTTATTTAATTATTCTAGTCACGTGAACTGGAAATTTCAGTTTATTGGCGTGATTGGCGATCTCTGTGTGCTGTAAAATTTCTGAGGTTAGAAGATTTTTTAGACAACCAACGGCATGGCATGTGTCTCTATTTGGAACCACAGGGTACTTTATTTGCAGAGGTAATAAATGTATTTTATTAAATATGCATAACTACCATTGAAATTATATATGTAGGCAACATGATGTAGAAGTGGGAAGAGTATTAGGCTGAATGGCAGACAACTTGAATTCTTGGCTCAACTCTGCCACTAAATAGGTATGTTACCCTAAGACAAGTCATTTATCCTCTCTAGGTCTGTTTTCTCATCTAGAAAATGAGGAGATGGAACTAAATTATATCTCAGATTCTCTAAGTTTTCAAACTTGCAAGTTTATTGAATTTCATGAACCATAAATCTAATGCTATAGTCATGTCAACTTGAATTTTCTTCACTGCAGGTTACCTTTTTTAATCCAGTTATTGAAAGAAGACCAAAACTCCAAAGACAAAAGAAAATTTTTTCGAAACAACAAGGTAATTACTGAGAAATCAAGTACAAAGTATTTTGGTGTTATCTTAAATACTTTAAAAATGTATATACTATTTAAAAAGTGACATCCATCTTTTCTTTTTGTTTTCTTCTTATTTGTTCAATTATTTACTTCTAAATTTCGTTACGGAAAATTTGAAACATGCATAAATATAGAGACTAGTGTGATGTGCCATCACTCAGCTTCAACAACAGTCAGCTTATGTCTAATTTTGTTTCATCTGTGTTCCATCACTCACAACTTCCTCAGATTATTTGAAGCAAACCCAGACATCATATAGATTCATCCATAAATATTACAGTTAGTATCTCTAAAAGATAAGAATTCTGTTTTTAAAACCTTAACCACATACCATTACTAGACTTAAATGAGCAATTCCTACGTATTTATTTTTAAAACTGATTTTGCTTTTTTGCACTAGCCTTTAATAATGAATAGTTAGGAACTGTTTTTTAAGTGACAAGTATTGTTTTTTCTTCATAAATTATAAACCAATGAATATGAATTCTTAAATTATGGCTTTTGGTAATATATTTAAAAAATACTTGTTCTGTTTTCTTTATTTACAATATCCACAGGCAAAACATTTCTCAGAGCTCCTCAAATGAATATTAATATTGCCACTTGGGGAAGACTAGTGAGAAGAGCTATTCCTACAGTAAATCATTCTGGCACCTTCAGCCCTCAAGCTCCTGTGCCTCCTACAGTGCCAGTGGTTGATGTACACATCCCTGAACTAGCACCTCCAGCTAGGTATGTGTCTTAAGATTTTTAAGCATTTCTTTTATAAAATAGTTATTGTGACATTTGTACATATCGATTACAGTGAGCCTATTAAAAGTCTCATTTTTTCCAAATAGTATTTTGAAACTAGTGCTCTGCTTACTTTTAAAACAATAAAATTGTTTGCCTTAATTGTAAAGTTATTTAAAATATATACTTTTGATTACTGCTTTTGGTGAATTGCTTTATCTTTTATAAGTGATTCTGCAGTAACCAAATTGGACTTTGATCTTGAACCTGAGCCTCCTCTGGCCCCACCACGTGATTCTTCCCTTGGAGAAATAGATGAATCTGCTGAATTAAGAGATTTGGATACACAAGGACAGGTAAGGCATTTTAAACCTTGTATAATTCCTTTTCACCAAATGAATTACCAGTAAAAGCATCATAGTGAATGAGATGTTAAAAACGTCTCATTTAACATTTTAGTTAAAAAATGCCTGTGTGAACTGTGTTGTTTATGTTTCTTGTGAATGAAACATAAAAACCTCTGGATGCTCATGAGCCAGGAGAGATGGAATAGGCTGCTTAATCTAGGAACATAAGAGCATGGCTGATATTGGATGACATGTTGCCTGAAACACTGTGCATCTTCTAACTAGGTTAACATGATTTTTGAAAATGCATGTAAGATGAAAGTAATGTATTCATTTTTTTAAATTGAAATATGGTTGATTTACAACATTGTGTTTCAGCTGTACAGCATAGTGATTCAGTATTTTTTCAGATTCTAGTTCATTATAGGTTAGTACAAGATAATGGGTATAATTCCCTGTGCTATACAGTACATCCTATTGCTTATCCATTTTATATATAGTAGTTTGTATCTGTTAATCCCATACCCCTAAATTGTCCCTCCCCCCTTCCTCCTCCCCTTGGTAAGCACAAGTTTGTTTTCTAAATCTATGAGTCTGTTTCTGTTTTGTATATACATTCATTTGTATTATTTTTTAGATTCTACATATGAGTGATATCATATACTATTTATTTCTCTGTCTGACTTATTTCACTAAGCATAATATTTTCTACGTCCATCCATGTTGCTGTAGAGGGCATTATTTCATTCTTTTTTTGGGGGGAGTAATATTCCAGTGTGTGTGTGTGTGTGTGTGTGTATACACACACACACATTTTTTAAAAATTTTATTGAAGTATAGCTGATTTACAGTGTTGTGTTTAATTTCTGCTGTATAACAAAGTCACTCAGTTATACATATATATATTCTTTTTCATATTCCTTTGCATTATGGTTTATCACAGGATATTGAATATAGTTCCTTGTGCTATGTTGTAGGACCTTGTTGTTTACCCATCCTATGTATAATAGTTTGCACCTGCTAATCCCACACTCCCAATCCTTCCCTCCCCCAAACCCCCTCCCCCTTAGCAACCACAAGTCTGTTCTCTATATTTGTGAGTCTGTTTTTGTTTCATAGATACGTTCATTTGTGTTTTATTTTTGATTCCACATGTAAGTGATATATGGTATTTGTCTTTCTCTTTCTGACTTACTTTGCTTAGCATGATAATCTCTAGGTCCATCCATGTTGGTGCAAATGACATTATTTCTTTTTAATGGCTGAGTAATTCCATTGTATGTATGTGTGTGCTATATATATATATATATATATATATCTCACATCTTCTTTATCCATTCATCTGTTGGTGGACATTTAGGTTGTTTCCATGTCTTGGCTATTGTAAATAGTGCTGCTATGAACATAAGGGTGCATGTATCTTTTTGAATTAGAATTCATCTGGGTATATGCCCAGGAGTGGAGTTGCTGGATCATATGGCAACTCTATTTTTAGTTTTTGAGGAACCTCCATACTGTTTTCTATAATGGCTATACCAATTTAAATACATTCCCATCAATAGTGTAAGAGGGTTCCCTTTTCTCTACATCTCTCCAGCATTTATGATTTGTAGACTTTTTAATGATGGCCATTTTGACTGGTGTGACGTGGTACCCCATTGTTGTTTTGATTTGCATTTCTCTAATAATTAGTGATGATGAGCATCTTTTCATGTGCCTGTTGGCCATCTGTATGTACCACATCTTCTTAAACCAATCGTCTGTTGATGGCCACTTGGGTTGCTTCTGTGTAACTGGCTATTGTAAACAGTGCTTCTGTGAACATTGGGGCTCGTGTATCTTTTCAAATTAGTGTTTTTGTTTTATCCAATGTATTCATTTTTTTACCTTTTTTAGATAAGAGTAATATATAATTAATAACTATAAAAATGAATATCCAATATCTGAATTTTATTTTCTCACTCATATTTATATCAACTTTTAACATTTTTTTCTTTAACTATCCTTACCTAATAAGTTGTTTTCTGAATGTTTCTATGATTTAATGAGTGTTTAATATTTTACAGGTTTCAGAAACAGTTTTTGATACTGAGAATGACAGAAATAGACTACTTCCAAAATCTCAATCTGAATATGAGCCTGATATTCCTCAATCAGGCCTAGAATATAGTGATATTCATGAACTTGAGGACAGAAGGTAAAGAATATGTACACAGCTTTGCTACATGTTTAGTCCCATACTTTTGCCTTATTTTTGATTGACATTACTGTTTTCAGATCTCAACAAATGTTTCAGTTTAATCTACAAGACTTCCGGTGTTGTGCTGTCTTGGGTAGAGGACATTTTGGAAAGGTAATCTTTTAAATTTTCTTGGAATGCCTACAACAGTAATAACTCACATGGGAAATAATTATTTTAATCTCATTTCAGGTGCTTTTGGCTGAATATAAACACACTAATGAAATGTTTGCTATAAAAGCCTTAAAGAAAGGAGACATTGTGGCTCGAGATGAAGTAGACAGGTTAGTTTTTTAAAAATGAAATTCTTTATTTTTCTGAAAATGTAGCTTATCGTGAAAAATCTGTATGTATTGCAACAACAAAACTTTCTATTTTCCTAATACACTTGACCGTTGAATAACATGGGTTTCAACTGCATGGATCCACTTAAACATGGATATTTTTCAAAAGTAAATGCTACAATATTACATGGTCTATGGTTGGTGAATCCACAGATGTGGAGGAACTGCAGATACAGAGGACCGACTATAAATTATGCACGGATTAACCCCCATGTTGTTAAAGGGTCAACTGTAATAAGTAAAGAAACTAAATAAATTACTGCATAAGGTAGGCATTAATTAAATGTTTTTCTTTCTATCTAACTCCCTCTTCCCCTACTTAAGACATTTTACTGCTGAGTGAATACCAAGGAAAGATGATGAAATGTTTAAACTAATTCTAATAAGCTTTTATACTTGGAAATGTTAAACTGTTTATATGGAATAGGAACTGTTATACATCTGTGGTTGGGTGAGGCTATTTCCTGTTCATACTACAGAAGTGATAAGATGTCATTTACAAATAATCTTCAGTTAACTGAATGGTTAATATATTCTGCTTTTGAAAATGCACCTACATCTATTTTTTGCTCTATGTTTCTGAAAATGGTATTTTTTGACCACAGCATCTTACATTTCTGGGTGTACATTGATACGGATACCTCTGCCTCTACAATTATTAAAATGTAAGGACTTTGGGGATAATATTGTAATTAGGTTAGAGAATATACTTTAAAAAGACTATCTCAAATTAATGGAGTGGTTCAACATGGAAATTATTGTATAATAAAGTGGCATATTTATTACAGAATGAGGCTTTCATTTGATATTTAGAAGGAGCAGTATTTTTCTTAAACCACCAGTTCAGGAAGCACCAGTTGATATTAATAGAAGACAGCCCTGTATAATGAGAACAGCCTGTGATTATCAGTGAGAAGACTTCTCTAGTTCTGATTGTTCCTTCTTAATTAATGATTTGATCCCAGGGCAATTCACTGAACATCTTTGAGCCTCAGTTAACCCACATATTTTTAAAATATATTTTTTGGTAATACTTGCCTTACCGAATTATATTAAGTGCCATATAGATATATCAAATTGCTATTTTTAATATTTTTTCCATGATATGGGAAGTTCTTAGAATTAGGATAGATCTTAAAAGATGCAGGTTTCCTTTATATAAAAAAATCTTTTCCTTTTGGATTTGCCTATTTGTTTTTTATCCATTTCTCATACTTCCCAATTATATCAAAATAAACTCCTCCCTGATCTAAAACTACTTAGAGAGATTTTGCATAATATTTTTGAAATATTCTGAACACTAGAGTATATGCTAACAACTGTATATTTCTGTTACATAAATAGTTAAAGCAAACCTTTAATTACACTGTCAGTTTGTTTTAATTACAATAATAATAAGGTCAAATGTTTTTCTTTTCTGGAAGAATGTTTGCTTTATTCCAGATTCATATATGGTAAATTCGTTTATATCCTAAAATAATAGGAGACTGGTACTACCCAGTTAATAATGGGAAAGTGGTAATTACTTGGTGGTTTATATAACTTTCTGCTACATTGTTACTGCTTTGAGCCACGTCTCTGTAGGAAAAAACTTCCTAATTAAATATAGATAGAATAATATTAATATTACTTTTAAAGAAGTATGTCTGGATTAGAGGATGAAGCTTTAGCCAGAACCTGGGACATTACCCCTACTTAAATTTAATCCAGCCTTAGTGAAAAGTTGATGAGTAATCTTTATCTAACTTCAGTTATAAATCCATGTATTCAGTAACATGGAAGTAAAATAATCTCCAGTAGAACCAGAAAAACAGAGAAATGTAAAATTCAGAGTGAGAAATAAAACTCACTCTTAGAGGACTTTGAGGAAGGCAGCAGAAAAAAGAGCAATTACAGGAAGACAAGAAAAAAAATTAATTTAGAAAATAAGAAAACAGACCAGCATAGTTATATAACTTGCAAGTCTGAATAGTAAACAACTAAGCAGAAATCTTTTATATCCACTTTCTATCTCATCCTTTTAATAGATCCATAGAATTCAATGTTATTGCATATCAGTGGGAGTTTTTTTCCTATAGATGTTTCTGAAATACTTGATGTTTCTTAACGACAGTTTTCCTTTCTAAATTTTCTCTTTCTAGTGTGAATTTTATTATTTTACTTATAGAAAATTCCAAATCAACTTGTTTTTTGTTGTTATTTGGTTTGGTTTTTTTTCGTCTAGTTTTATTGAGATATAATTGACATGCAGTACTGTATAAGTTTAAGGTGTATAGCATAATGATTTGACTTACATACATCATGAAATGATTGTCAAAATAAGTGAACATCATAGAGATACAAAATTAAAGAAATAGAAAAAAAATATTTTCCTTGTGATGAGAACTCTTAAGATTTACTCTTTTAACAACTTTCATATATAACATACAGCAATGTTAACTTCATCATATTGTACATTATATCTCTAGTACTTATTTATCTTATAACTAGAAGTTTGTACCTTTTGACTGCCTTCATCCAATTTCCCCTCCCCTCACCCCATCTCTGGTAACCACAAATCTACATCTTTTTTAAGGAACACAAATTATGCACTAACTTCAAAGTAATGTAATTCATGTACAAAGATCACGTTTTCCACCTACCATTAGTAGAACTTCTTTCTGAGTGCCATCTTCCCCCACTCCTGAGTAGGAATGTTAAATGTGTGTTACTGTTATGCCTCACTCAGCTTCCTTGTCTTACCAGTTCACATTTCAAAACAACAGAATAGACTTGGAAGTATATTTTTGTAGTTGCAGAACAAAAACACAGCTAGCCAGATTTTCTATATATATCATATATACGTATATATGATTTAATCCTAAGATTAGCCTTATTAATGTTGTAATTTTCCACTGACCAAAATAACTGTTTATATAGTTTTTAAGTTTCTATCATGTCTAATAATGTACGGAAGGAAGTACACCAAAAAATGTTAGAATGGAACTAGTCACTCAGGGAGATAAAACATAAATACATTAGTTATATAAATAAAACAGATTAGATATGTTTGAGTTTTAGCTGAACAATATAGATAATCGCAGCTCATAACAGGGGGAACATCAAATGAAGGTGTGCTGGTGGATTTAGGTAAGGCCTTGTAAAGAAGATTGGATTTGTGCTGATCCTTGGCAGATGGAAGATATTTGGGAACATGGAGAGGAGAGAAATGACAAGATAGAGGAAAATGTTCTGGACAGAATGAAGTTTGAAGTTTTGAATAAGGTTGGATTGTTTCATGGACTTTTAAGGAGAATATACAATTTAGATTAGATTGGGAAAAGTTAGAGACTTACGGAGCAGCTTTCTGGTGTGCTGTATAATGCTTAAAATTAAAATTATTGTTCCTGTTGGGGTCTATAAAGATCCTTCCTCCTTTACCTAATAGTCCTAAGACATCTATCCAGCCCTCATCAATATTGTCAGTCCTCATCAAACAATTCTATGAATGGCATTAAAACCATTTTAAGAGGAATTCTGGTTAATCCTTTAGACCATTTACATGTTCAGCACAGGTCTAACCTTATACTTATCCAGGTGAGAATTAGTAATTCACCCATAGTGGATTAGTAATTCACCCATAAACCATACACAGTGAAGAGGCCACGTTTGCCATCTAGTTGAGCCCAAAACATCTTGCCAGTTTGTCTTATTTCACCTGAATATTTTATCCTCATTAGCCAAAATTTAGATTGACATAGTAAATCAATTGTTTTAGAATCTGTCTTACAGATCTTGCCCAATTAGACATTGTTTTCCAATAAATTTAAATGGTGATAAAGTCAAAGCTGTTAACTGTTCTTTCTAATCTTCTGTGAATTTATTTCTAATAGTGACTTAATTTGTAGTAACATTTAGAAACCTTGTAAATGTATGTAGACATAAGCCCAACGCTTTAGAAACAATTACAGTGGGGCTTTCTGTTTTGAGTATATGTAAAGTTGTAAACAGATTGTGTGAAATAAGAGGGTAAGAGTTCATCTAGAATGTGACCATATTAAATGGAGTTTAAACACTATTTCATAATAGCTGCATTTACTGTCAGTATTTAAAACTGAACAGGTGTTTTAGTTCATAATTCGGAATACAACTGTATTAACAGAGCAATAAAAATTCCATGTTCCTTCTACACAACAGGTATACTCTTAAATGTTCATAGCAGTATAATCTGGATACCCCAACAAATGCTTTAATCTTTAAGTTAAACTTTTTAAAATTAACTCTGAAGAGATCCAAAAGAAAGGAGTATGGGTCTACCTCCTTCTAACGTTAGAATTTTGGTTTGGTATTTTGAAATCAATAACCAAATACACACACACACACACACACACACACACACATCTAAGGAGTTCTTTAATTTTAAAAATGAAAGCATTATTAATGCTTTTCAACAAACATTAATGTCAATTTTTGATTCCAGTCTCAGAAACAAACAAAAATGCCTATTTTGTATTAGAAACATAAATGTAATTTAATTGGTAACAAAATACATCTGTAGGTATATTTATTTTGATCAGGTGTTTAAAGTGTTAATTCCAAGTTGTATTTGAATAATATTTGACCTGGTTTTCTTCTGCTTTGAGGTGTTTTTTTTTGTTGTTGTTTAGATTTTGTTTTCTTTTTTTTTGTTTTTCCCCAGTTATACATACACATGTATCTATTCTTTCTCATATTGTTTTCCCATTTACGTTTTTACATAGTACTGAACAGAGTTGCTTGTGCTATACAGTAGGTCCTTGTTGGTTATCCATTTTAAATATAGCAGTGTGTACATGTCTGCTTTGAGTTTTAAGTCAGGTTGACTTACTAAATATTTTCAGGGGGAAGAAGAGTGGTATTTTTTGCTATTTAGGCAAAATTGTTTCAGAGTCAGTAAGTTTGACCACTGCTCTTTTAAGCAGCTTGTAAGAGTTCTTACAGGGAAACCTGAGATAGCTATAGATTTTATAGATAAATTGTATCATTCTCCAGGAGCTTCCTTGAAGTATGTTATAGAATTCTCCATGTAACCTCTTTATTTTCCAGTTAGCCTTCTAAATTAAAATTTTATGCAGTGTATCTTTACCTCTCAGCTTCATATATTATATGATAGAATATTTGGATACCATAGCTTGTGAATTATAAATATATACTGTCCTTGAAATTGCCTTGAGCAGAAAATTTGTATTTTAAAATTATGCTTTAGGTTGCTAAATCCTTTGACCAATTCCTGAAAATTTTTCACAATTCACTCCTAATTAAGCCTTTTTTATTAACTATTACCACTAGCCATATGTGTGCTACTCTGATACTATCAATGTGAACTTATGTCATGCTAATCATATTTAGTTTTCATTAATATATTTCTATTAAAGTTATATATATCAAGTAGCCCAAATTTTTCAAAGCATTTGTAGCAAAACTAGGACACATTTTATGGTTTTAAAGTTATAATGATTAAGAACTTTGCTCATTTTAGAGTTTACTAATTTTTAAAGAATGTTATTTCCAACTAGAACTTTAAAAAAAAGTACCAGTGATTTTAAAATGTTTTCTCTTACAGCCTGATGTGTGAAAAAAGAATTTTTGAAACTGTGAATAGTGTAAGGCATCCCTTTTTGGTGAACCTTTTTGCATGTTTCCAAACCAAAGAGCATGTTTGCTTTGTAATGGAATATGCTGCCGGTGGGGACCTAATGATGCACATTCATACTGATGTCTTTTCTGAACCAAGAGCTGTGTGAGTATTTAGCATTTCTCTGAGTTTCTTCATGACTGATTTCTTTCTGGGAAGGAAAAAAGCTCTCTGAATTTTAGATTTATTTTTTTCCCTCATATGGAAAATAGATGAAGAAATAATAGAACTCCTTACTTACCTTTTTGCCATAAATAAATGTATCTATTTTTCTCTGTTGTTCATGTTGAAAATTTCATGGATTACCCTAAATCACAATTGATAATTTAGATATACAATTTAGGTTTATTTTAGTAAAATTTCTTTTTTTCCAGTATATTTTCTCCCTAGGGAATGCCATCTAGGACCATGGCTTTAAATATTAACTATACTCAAAGTACACTGTTAAGTGAAAAAAGAAAATGTAGAAGAGTTTGTATTATATATTTGTATGAAATATTTGTATTTGCATTTTAAAGGGTAATTTAAAAGAGTATGTCTTAAGTGTTTGCTTGCATGTGCTTACAATACCTCTGAAGAATATAAAAGAAATTGGTATGCGTATCACCTCCAATGAAAGGCATGGAATCCAGATATGATACTTAATAAATAACTGGGTATACTGTTTAAAATATATATTTCACTGAATGCTTATAGGATGTCAGGTACTGTGTTAAATATTTTAATTTATCACTAAAACCCTTTTTGTAGTTTTTGAATTTGTTATTATATGAAGGTTTTACTTACTCAGATGCAAAAGAATAAATAATAGCAAACATTTGTGATTAAACATAATTATATATATTCTTCCCCTGTTGTTATCCCAGTTTTAAAGCTCTTAAGTGTTGGAGCTAGGATCAGAGCCTAGGAAAATGCTCTTAATAGCTACACTGTATATGCAGGTGTTTACCAAATGTATATCTCCAGCCCTTACCTCTTACCTAAACTTCCAATTCCAATAACATTCAGCAGCCAACTTGACTCTTCCCTTTATATGGCTAATAAGAATTTCTTGTTTAACATCTCAAAATGAACGCCTGATATTTCCCATTTTCCCCCACCTCACCCACCACTCCCCAGCCTGTTACTCTTCTAGGCTTCTCTCTTATTAAATGGCAATACCATCTACCAGTTGTTCAAGCCAAAACACAGGAGTCATTCTTGATTCTCTTTTTTCCTTACATGCAACATCCAAATTCTACCTCCAAAACATAACCCAAATCATAAAAATCATAAACCAGTAGTAAAACTTTATTGAATTTATTATTGAATTTTTATCACTTGTCTGTATTCTGACAGCTGACATTTGTGTAACATTTTTACTTTCATTCCTTTATTTGATTCTCATAACCATCAGAAGTATAATACAGCAGATAGTAGTACTAGGGCATTAGTTCTGATGGGTAGTGAAGCTTTCAGAAAAGGAGGCAAAAGCCACAAAATAATAGAAGGCTACTAATAATTAATTCCCTGCATATTTAAAAATTAATATTTAAAAATTAAAAGCAGGGCATCTAGACTACGCCTAGCCTTGTGCTAACTGCCTTGGGAATTTGTTTTGTTATGCCTTTTCTTTAATAAATATAAAATCCTATTCTGCCTTAACAAACTTTTTATTTTTGCTGAGAGTACAAATTATATAGTACCAATGAAACAATTAAGCCCAGTGAAATACAAGAATAAAACGCTTTATTGCAATACTTCATATCTAAAGTACCTCCCTCTAATCATTCAGATCTCACCTCAAATGTCATTTCTTTGGAGGCCTTTCCTCATTACTTTAATTAAAGTACCACTGTATCACTAATGTCTAAATCAGGCCACACTCTATTCTATTTTATATTTTATATTCTCCATAGCACTTTATACCTGAAATCACCTTATTTATTTTTTACATTTTTATTGTCTGTCTCCCCTCACTAAAGGGGAGCAACAAGGACTATGTGTATTCTATGTACTAGTGGAACACCTAGAAGGGTGACTCACATATGCTAGGCAAACATTGTATTCTTATTGCTTGAGATGAAGGAATGGAAATTAATTTGAGTCCTAGCTTTGCTGTGTTCTGGCTGTGTTGCTTTAGATAAATTAGTTACTCTTTCTGAGAGCTTCATTTTCTGCTTCTGTAAAATATTTGTCTTAAAGGTTTGATTTGATGATATCCAGTATACCCAGTTATTTATTAAGTATCATTAGGACAATCTGTTTACAAATAATGGAGCAAAAGAGAAATCAGAGTATTTTTATGATTGTTACAGTATTGTTTTGCCACCAAAATAAGTTTGCTTAAAAAAAACTACCTTAAGCAATTTTAGAATCACATTTGTTTTAATGGACTTCAGCTAAATCTTTTAAACTTATGATAAATAATTACATAAGATCTAATGTATAATCAAATATTTATAAATAGTTGCATTTAAAAAATCTCCAAATTATGGTTCCATTTTTGTAAAAATAAAGAAACACAAAACATATCTACATGTACACGTAAATGCATTCTAACATTTGAAGGACATTCACCAAACTAACAAAAGTAGTTACCTTTATGGATAGTAGTGGCATCAGGGTGAAATGGAGATGGATGAATGAAAAATTGTGCTTTAGGGTAGGGGTATTATGTGTATTTTATAGAGGAAATATCCATGTGTTACTTGTAAAATTAAGAACTGATTCTCCTAAGTGTCTCCTTATAGGCTATTCTACACTGAAGACAGATCTGCATTTTTTAATTCATTCATTTATTTATTACCTACCTCCTTATTCAGTAAGGCTATTGTGTATCAAGCATTTTGCTAAGCATTTAGGCTAAACACTGAAAAAGACAAACATGGTCCGATCCCTCAAGAGTTAATATTCTAGCTGGGTTGAAGTTTTTCTAAGATCTAAACCTGTTTATCCATTTCTAGACCTCTTCACCTGTCCCAAGGCAATTTGAGGTCAATATGTCTAAAGGCAAACTCACTTTCCCCACAAAACTTTGGCTACTTCTGTATTTCTCCACCTATTCATTACAATAAAAAGGAAACCTTGAGAGTTATCTTCATCTTTTCCCTTTCCCTCATCCTTTATAGCTAATGAGACACCAAGTCCTATCATGCTCGTTTTAAAGTTTCTCTTGAATCCATCTCTTATTCTCTTTGTTGCCACTACATTAGAGGTACTCATGATCTTTCATCTGTACTATTATTTTAGCTTTATCTGTTCCTTTTCCCTCTGGATATCTACCTACTTCCACTCCACTTCATACTACTATCAAGAAAGTTCTCTAACATAAATCTGATTATTCTGCCCTGATTAAAATTGTTTGATTTGCTATCACTAAGAGAAGAATTTTCAGTACAGGCATACCTCATAGATATTGCAGGTTCAGTTCCATACTGAAACAAACATCATAATAAAACAAATATCATAATAAAGTGAGTCGTGAATTTTCTGGTTTCCTGGTGCATATAAAAGTTACATTTACACTATACTGTAGTCAGTTAAGTGTTCGATAGCATTATGTCTAAAAAAAACCAATATACATACCTTAATTAAAAAATACTTTATTGTTAAAAAATGCTAACAATCACCTGATCCTTCAGCAAGTCGTAATCTTCTTGCAATAATGATGTCAGAAATCACAGATCACCATAACAAATATAATAATGATGAAAAACTTGAAATATTGAGAGAATTACCAAAATGTGACACAGAGACCTGAAGTGAGCAAATGCTGTTGGAAAAATGGAGCCCATAATGTTGCTCCATTCAGGGTTGCCACAAACCTTCAATTTGTAAGAAAACACAGTTGCCTGTGAAGCACAATAAAGTAAAAACACAGTAAAACAAGGTATGCCTGTGTTCATAATATGACATTCAAGGTCCTTCACAACTTGATCTCAGGCTCTTTTCAGCTGCATCTCCTGCTACTTCTTCCTTATCCTTTACTTCAGCCACAACAAACTCATTATGGTTGTCAAACAGGTTATGCCTTTTACACGCCTATTCCTTTCCCTCTTAGGAGCATACCCTATATTTCCCATACAAAAGTTCTACCTTTCATACCGTCCTGCCTTTAATGATGGCATATTGTACTTTCTTCGAAGAACCAGATCAAATGTCTACCACAACGGCTTCAATGACTCCACCAGGCAAAGTTAATGGCTTCCATTTTAGAGACTGCATTTTTCTTATTTTTAAATTTCACGCCTAATATTTAGCACATATCTTACTTATATGTCTGGCACATAGTAAGGACTAAATAAATACTTGTGAAATTAGTTAACTACAGAGTTCTGCTTTGAAGCATAAAAGTACAAACCGGGATTCATGAGTAGTGGAATTTATTAAACTTCTTTTGATTTAATTCTTAAAACAGATTTTATGCTGCATGTGTAGTTCTTGGGTTGCAGTATTTACATGAACACAAAATTGTTTATAGGTAAGTAAAGTTTTGATATTTTCTAATTGCTTATTTTGATATGAAGTAGAATTAAAGATAATTAAGAAGGATATTTTGTTTAACCAGCTTCTTAATTTTCTCTTTTGTATGATAACTGATCACTAAGAAAGTTAAACTCCAATTTTGAAAGACATGGTTAACACAATAATTATATGATAAATTTCTTTGTTACTGGTCCTCTGCCCATTACCTAATTAGAATAGTCAAATTATAAGTTGACCTATGATAACACAATTTACCAACAATATTCATCCTGGTGAATACTTTATATTCAACTGATCCACTTGTGCCAGATTATAAAACATCACCTTGCTTCCTTCATTAAGCCTTGCTGTCAACTAGACAGTGTACTTGGTGACATATCTGATTTATGTACTGGCACAAACTCCTTACCAAATTGCAGACTAGTTAGAAAAAGTTCATAGCCCAGCAATTAGTCTGTGGTTAACACTTTGAATAACATTGCTCTAGATCAGACAAATTATGGGAAGGCCAGTAAGAATTAAAAGACTGTAAACATCAGTTTATTCAAACTTCTAACAATGTTTCCAAGATAACAGTTTCCTAATGGCCCTATTTAACTTAAAGAATAAAATATTTTCAACTTAATTTGTAATCATTTAATATGACTTAATAGCTTCCTCTTTATTTTGAATTATTCTCTTAGAAGGTTAAACCTGCTCCCTTATACCTTACTTATACTGTTTGTTTGATAATTCATTCTTATGGATGGCGTGTAGGCAAACTTCAGTTAGTCCAAGTCCAAGAGCTCCCTGATGGTCTGGTGCTTTGGATTTGGCTCTTTCACTGCAGTGACCCAGGTTCAGTCCCTTGTAGGGGAACTGAGATCCCCACAAGCTGCCTGACATGGCCATTAATTAATTAAAGAATTAATTAATTAATTAAACTTGAGTTAAATATCCATGAACTCCTTCTGAGCTTTAAAATATATATTTAAATAGATCAAACATTTCTCTTTTAGATACATTCTTCCTTTTCTGCATAACGGGGAAAATATTCAGAAATTATTTTTTGTAAAGTAATAAACTTGCCAAAAGGAAGAAAATGAACATTTGTAATATAGTATTTAAATCTCAAACCATAACTTGAAAAAATTCATTTTTAGTAAAGAGAAAGTACGGCTCCTATTAAAATGATATTTTTATTATATTATCTACTGATTTTATTGATTTTTTTTTCATTTTGCATTTTTTTATCCTGAACAGAGATTTGAAATTGGATAACTTATTGCTAGATACAGAGGGCTTTGTGAAAATTGCTGATTTTGGTCTTTGCAAAGAAGGTAATTGGGTATTTTAAAGTGCCTTTTCTAATAGATTACTATTCCTTTGTACTTTGGAAGTTTTCAAATTTGTCTATGGAGAGCAAAATGTATTTTTTAATTTATTAAAAATTAAACTTTAACTTATTCTTTATTGAGACTTATAGGTTGTTCATATAACCTAATTATCATATTATTAAGAATTTATTCTGTGAATATGAATAAGGTTAGGTTTTCAGAAATCATAGTATAAAAATAAGATTCTCTTTTTATGATTAATAATTCTCTCTACTCTAAGAAAGCATTGGTTAAGCACCAAATTTTTTGCTTTGCTGGGATTGTGCAGAGTAAATTATGCGTGCCTAAAAACTTCTCTCCTGCTTCTTAAAACTTTTAACATTTAAAATAGGAAAAATATATGCATATGCCTCAAGAATCTTTTATGTACCTATACGTGTGTGAGTACACACACAAACATATGTAAATAAATATGTAAACTGGGGAAATTTGAATCAAGAGGTAGCATAAGAAAATATAAAGAGCATGGGCTTAGGCACCACACAGTCCTAAGTTTGAATCCTGGCGCTGCCACTTATTTGCCCTGTGTCTTTGGACAAGTTACTTTTAACCTCATTGAGTCTGATTCCTCAGCTATAAAATAAATATAATCCTTCTTGTTTAGGAGTATTATGAGAATTAGAGATAAGTATGTGGCACAGTGTCTAACATATAGTAAATAGGTACTCTTAATACACTGTACTGTAGCAAACATTGTCTGTCTCCCCCTCTACTCTGATAGCTTCCTGTTTGTTATTCAGCTTTCTTTCCATAGTATATAGTATAGTGCTTGGCACAGCTTAAGTATTCAGTGAATGCTTAATTAATAAGTAATTGGATGAATTAATGAATGAACTTTATAAATCTGTGTCCATCAGTTACCAACTGACCTCCTAATTATTGAATCTAATGAAAGTTTTTTTTCCTTTTTTGGACACTATTGACTTAAATGTTTTTGTTCCTCTAGAGTCTGGCCTTAGCCCATTGCTTTTCTCAGGTAGTTTTTAACTAGCAGCTATATTCTAATGATTTCCAAATCTATTATTTCCTTTCCTGACATATATAGTCAACTATCTACTAGACAGTTTTACTTGGTCAGCAGGTACCTCAAACACTGCACAAGCAAGTTTCTTTTCCTCCGTCTCGTTTGAAGTTGATGGTGCCACAATCCTCTCAATCTCCCAATTTGAAAATGTGGAATTATCCTGGACTCTCTCCTCTTCACTACTTTCTGCATCCCGTTAATCACCAAATTGTGCTGACATCTACCTCCTTAATATTTCTTAAGTTTTTCATCTTCCCTCTACCTCTGCCAAGCATCATCTTGTTTTGAAAAGACTACTTTAATAGCCTTTTAACTTTTCTGTCTCTGTTCTTTTTCTCCCTCAAATCAGTCTGCCATGTAATTGCTAAAATGCAAAAGGGGCACATATACATACAAATCTGACCATGGTACGCCGCTACTGAAAACCTTCAGTGGCAAAGATGTGATATACATTGCCCTTCCTGATCTGCCTACCTCCTTCTCCAGCCAGATCTCTTGCAGCTGTCTGCCTAGTACTTTCTATTGCAACAACAATAAACTGCTTACAGTCTTTGTCCACCACTATCACTCATCTCAGCTCTATTTGCTGACTAATGTCTGCTCATCCTTCACTCAACTCAGGTGTCACCTCTGCAGATAAGTTACCTGAGGCTCCTCTCCTCCTATCCCAACTAACAAGTCAGCTTTCATAAGATGATGTGTATAATGTGCTTTTAGCAGTTTAGAATACAATGAGACATTTTCTTCAATATGTAGAATGTATATTTGACTAATTTATTACTAAATTTTGAGAAACATATTTAGAAAACAGGTTAGCTAAAGTCTTTAATGTATTTTGAGTTTGATTACCATGCACAAATATACACCTTTAATTTTGCTTCCTAAGGATATCTTCTAATTTTTTTGCCAGATTTTTTTCTGTGTTAACAAATATTTGAATTTTACCTTTTTCAGGAATGGGGTTTGGAGATAGGACAAGCACATTTTGTGGCACTCCTGAATTTCTTGCCCCAGAAGTATTAACAGAAACATCCTATACAAGGGCTGTAGATTGGTGGGGCCTTGGCGTACTTATATATGAAATGCTCGTTGGTGAGGTAAGCAGTATAAAATAGGTAAAAGGGAAACGTGATTGAAAGAACAAAGCATGTCACTTATAAAACCACTTAATATGTTTCCTGCATAAGTAGAACTTAAGCTTAATAAATATTTATATATATATTAGTAATTGCCTATGATCCTATATTACCTTCACCATCTTTTTTAGAGTTTTATATTATCTGTGGAATGTATACCAATGCTTCAAAAATAGTTTCTTATATTTCAGTGTTGCTCTGGTTATATTTTTAATCACACATAACTGATTATTTCATAAGAAATAGAAAGCAAGAAGACTGATAAAAGGAATGTACTCTGTACCTGTAAAGAAACGTCAGCTATATATTAGTCAAAAATAAATGTTACCTTCAAAAGCGATACAGTAGAATTGAAAATATTAACATTTTTTTCCTACTATTTTCTTTAGATTAACTTAAAATAAATTTCTGGGCCTAACTTAGTTGTATGCAGAAATTGTTACCACTTAGAAAACAGTGAATTATATCTAATTAATAAAGCAGTAAGAAGAGACTATTTTGTTGTAAGTTTTTGGAAATGATAAATTAGGGTGGAATTAAAAAAGAGTAAATATTTAGACAAGTAATTGAAAATTACTTAGATGGGTTTGATGATCTTGAGATGCAAGAAAAATTACCTTGCATTGGTTCATTGTTCTGCCGTTTCCCTAATGCCAATGACCAACCTTGAACATTCTAGGCATGAAAAAACTAGTAGCTGAATGATGAATGACTAAATTATTGAATGTCAGAAATTTCTAAAGTTTTGCTCTGTGATTGTCATTTAGTGACACTTATACCAAACAAGTAAATAAATGAATTTAGTTCATCCAATGACAGTACCTTTTGATATGTCAAATTGGAGTGGAAACTTGGAAAAGGAAGAAAAGAAATAGCAAATTAAAACGTTTACTGTGTGCTAGGCACTATTCTATGTGCTTTATAAGTATTAGCTCATTTAATTTTTCAGCAAACTTTAATGAGCTCAATAGTAGTCTTATGTTTATCTCCAGATGCATAAATAGAGACACAAAGAAGTTAATAGCTTGCTTAAAGTCACACAGCTCTCATATGGTGGAGCAGGGATTTTAACCTGTCTGTAAACCATTGTGGTTTGCTGCCTGCAGGATAGGGTATTTAATATACCCAAATTTATTTCTTTTCTTAAGACCATGGGTTCAGATCTGAATTTTTCACCTCTATTTAGAAAAGCATAAAGATGGAAAGATATATTTTATCCCTAATCCACAGTGGTCTTTACTTTCTGTGAGTGCCAGAAGTACTCATACTAGTTGTTTCTGTAAGCTCTGACATACTTGAACTTTTTTTTTAATAGGTTTATTTTATTTATTTACTTATTGATTTTTGGCTGCGTTGGGTCTTCGTTGCTGCATGCAGGCTTTCTCTAGTTGCAATGAGTGGAGGCTGTTCTTCGTTGCAGTATGTGGGCTTCTCACCGCGGTTGCTTCTCTTGCTGTGGAGCGTGGGCTCTAGGGCGCAGGCTCGGTAGTTGTGACACACGGGCTCTAGAGCATAGGCTGAATAGTTGTGGCGCATGGGCTTAGTTGCTCCATGGCATGTGGGATCTTCCCGGACCGGGGCTCGAACCCGGGCTCAAACCTGTGTCCTCTGCAATGGCAGGTGATTCTTAACCACTGTACCACCAGGGATGTCCCGGCAGTTACTTCTAAGTACAGTCATTATGCCTGCAGTCTCTAATTGTGTTTTGCCACCATTAATTTGCTGTTGACTGTGAAATTCAAACCACATCCATGTCTGATGTATTTCTACAAAGTCTGTGCTTCCCTCTGCAGTAACACGTATTACTGTATTTGCCTTACCCATTTCCTTCTGTCTTTCCACAAGAAGATTTCAATAAAAGTATATGGATATGGTGTATCCTCTGGTTAGTAGTTACCTATCTATTGTGTGTCTATTGTGATTTCTTGTAGTCCTTATTTGTTTGATGTTTTGGTGGGTCTGTTTTTTTGTTTTTCCTTTTTCTTATTTTCCTCACTATCTGGTTCTTGATTGTACTTCGGAACTTTGAATAGATGATGAGATTTTACTGTACTGAAACTCATTTTGACTGACTCAAGGATATTTCTTCTAGTCTCCCTTTCCTGGTGATGATGAAGAGGAGGTTTTTGACAGTATTGTAAATGATGAAGTAAGGTATCCAAGGTTCTTATCTACAGAAGCCATTTCAATAATGAGAAGGGTAAGAATTAATGATTTATAAAACTACTGAAATTTTTTAAAGAACATTTCCCAGTAGAATTTTAGAAGTTGTTTTTCAGTTATAGATGTTGCATGGTTTAGACAAACACATACCAGAAGAAACATCTAAAGCTTTGCAAGTTACGAGAATCCTTGTCAATGAGTCCCTGGTCTTATATTAACTTTCTTCCTTTATATTGTGTTAGTTATTAAGAAGAAATCCTGAGCGGCGCCTTGGAGCTGGTGAAAAAGATGCAGAGGATGTAAAAAAGCACCCATTTTTCCGAGTAAGTATGAAAGTTTAAAATTTTTTATGAAACTGTAGCAATTAGGAGTAGGAGACTAAACTGGTCATTTTATATTTTGTAATCCAGCTAATTGATTGGAGTGCTCTGATGGACAAAAAAGTAAAGCCGCCGTTTGTACCTACAATTAGAGGGCGGGAAGATGTTAGTAATTTTGATGATGAATTTACCTCAGAAGCACCTATTCTGACTCCACCTCGAGAACCAAGGATACTTTCAGAAGAGGAGCAAGAAATGTTCAGAGATTTTGACTACATTGCTGATTGGTGTTAAGTTGCTACACAATGTGAAACCAAGCAGACTGACTCATAAGAAGACCTCCTAAAAATAGCAACCCTTCATTTGCTCTCTGTGCCAACAAAAGCTTCTGAGTTTTTTTTAAACATATGAAGATGTGTTTAAAAATACTATTCTAATACCTTCTTGAAAAGTGGCTTTTCAATGTATTTTCAACGTAAATCTGAACACTGGAAACAGTTTCATGGAGTTTAAGCTGAATGAACATCGGCCATGAAAATCTATCAGAAATGAATACTTTTGGATCAGTAGTCTTATTTTTTAAAAAAAGAAGAAACAAAAAAAAACACTCTTCTACAGTCCCTAGCTTTGCTGTACTCCTGTCTTAAATGGAAGGAAAATTAATCAGTTAACTTTCCTTAGCTGTATTTTACAAAAAGAGGAAAAAAGGGCTTGGGATGCTATTACTATTCACACATAGTATGATTCTGTTTGAATAAGGCAAATGCTCTTATTTTTGTAAAGAAATTACTGTAATATCAAAAAAATTAGTTTGTGCACATTTTGGGGCTTTTTTTCTTTAACAGAATGAGTTGATGTATTATAAATTTTCTATATTTATTAGGAGAAAATTTTTATTGCCTTATCTTTACCAACTGTGTAACAGAGCCTCATAGCTTTCCAACAGAGCTACTTGCCAAACAATTATGTTTATTAAACCAACTATGCTGAAACAAACAGAAACAACTAAACATCTACATTTACTTAAAATTTTAAGAATGAGGACTTACGATCAGCCTGAACCAAGATACTGTTACCTGTATGCATTCCCAAAGTCTAGATACTCAGTATGTTCAGTCATACCTTTTTCCTAAATCAGTGAACTGATTACTCCTTTTTTTGATATTGTACATTTATCAACCTAGTTCATCTTGTTCTTGTGTCTACTGTAGAAGGGAACTATATCTTTGTTAAAACATAGGGATTATCATTGTATACATGCTGTGAACATGTATATGTGCAAGTTGTAATGTATTCTATGTTGTAGGTTTATTATTTAATTTCACCACTTCATCACTTTTGTACAGTGGCCAAGCAGACACCTCAGACTCCAGCATTTACGTTAAGTGCATTTGTACATTTTAGGCCACTGGATCCAGATTTTATATTGGCAGTTACTGAGGGCAAAAGCAATATTTTATAACAGAATGTATAAATATTTTTGATAAAACAGTCTATATTTTATAAAAATTATTATAACACTAAAGCTGTACCTCAAAAGTCTCAAAAATAATTTGATCAAATACTTTTTTACAACTCTTCAGAGGATCCATTTGTGGCTTTTTAATGCTCTTTTAAGGATAGGGAAGTCTTTCTGCAAGCCATGACTTTTCTACTTGCCTGGAGTTTTGGGTTTTTTTGTTTTGTTTTAATTGTTTTCCCTCCTAGTCTATGACTTTATTGTTTTTCCCTAGTTCAGTAATAACATCTTTGATTCTGTGCTTAGCATGTTAGGGCCATCATACCTCAGGAATAGCAAGTTGTTAACTAACCATACTGAGTTAACCATTTAATCACTATGATCTCATGTCTCAAAAGTTGTTCAAGTTTAAATCCTATGAGAAAAATGAAAGCACATTGATTTATAGAGAATTAAGCTTAAAACATTTATGAATATTTCAGCCTTGCCAGGACGTGTTGGCATGTTTTTGCTATACTCTGAGAACAGTTAAATTGTTCAGAGATAATTCCTGTTTCCTTACAAATTGATTATTACCCATGATCCTTTGGGGGAAAATCTTACAGGAAGAGGGAGCAGCAATATGTTGTTTAAAATTCTTTTAAAATGCCAGTTAACTTCCTTGGTGAAGGACAGTAGAGGATCTTAGCTTAATTGTCTGGTTTTAATGTAAACAGTGTTAATACAACATTAAAAAAAACACTAAATACTTTTGAGGTACAGTCTGCTCACCTTTTCTGGTTCTCAAATGTGCATAGAAAGCAATGTCTAAAATAGGCGTTTAGCATTAAAAACTGACATAGCATTTTGTAACTACACAGTGTACAGAATTTTTTTTTAATTGAAGTCAATCACTAAAAAAATTAGAGGGCAGGGTATATTCACACAATTAAGCTGAAGAAAGCACTAATTTTTTCTGTAGTTTCAAAAATATATATATTTTAGTCAGATTTAAAATTTTTAAACTCTATAGAATGTAAATATATTTTGTTATTACTGTATGTGTAAGTGACTGCTCAAGCACTTTGTAAGGAAATTAAGATATTTTAGAATGGTACACTATGCATTCAAATTAAATGTGCCTTTATGTCATTTTAGGAAAAAGTGTTTTGCAGTCATAAATTACCACAAATGCACAAATTAAAGTTTATTAGATTGTAATTTGTAACTTTGTTTTTAAGTATTATTTCCTTTTGGAAACTTCCTATTGGTCAGAATATGTATTAGCTTTCCTAGATTCAAGATCTCAAAGACTAGTTAACTTTAGTTAGCCTTCTTGCAGGTACTTTTTGTCCTAGGGAAGGGCAAAATCATTAAGAGTCAAACCAAATTGTCTACTTCACTGGTAACAGTGGGGAAATTTTGCATTCTGTTCCTGTAAGTTTAGTAGCATCTTTCATTCAGTGGTTACTTATGGGTTGTCTTCTGTGTGCTAGACACTAAGGATAGAAAGGTGATAAAAAAAAAGGCACCAAAGTCTTCATAAATGAAGAATGGTAAACATTAATGCTAAAATGCAAGCACTAGTACTATATGTACTTTTCTCTTGTTTGAGAATAACTTATTTAATTTTAGAATCTGACCTTTCAGAAAATAGGTAAGTGAAAACAGAATACTAGCCATTTTATAGTCATCTTATTCAAAAATTACAAATGGAATATTTCAGAAATGTAAAAAGAACCCTGCTATCTCTGTGACACAGATTAAGGTCATAATGTAATCACCATTGTATGTTGACTAGGTGAAAGCTGCATTATAGATTCAAATCTAACAAAATTTTTACAGGTGCTGCTGATCTTCCCAAAGCAACTGAGGGTGAGTATGAGAAACCCAAAAGAACAAATGCCGGATCATAGTTTTAATATAGAATTCTTGTTTACCTTCTAGCTGTCTTTTGAGATCTAGTGTTTCTCTGAGATATACGCTTTATATGTATATACATATATAACTATATGTGTTTATAAATATATGTATGTAAATATATACATATATAAATAGAGGTAAGTTTGTAAAGTAACTTCTAAGTGTCAAAAATCTTGTGTAATTTCTTCTAGTATCTTGTCTAAGTAGAAACTCTCAGACATCCAGTACGAAACATAATTTGAGTCATTGCTGGTCTCATTAAAGATAAGAGTGGTCTCTGGCAACCCCTCACCCCAAAGTAAGCAAACAAACTTGAGCATGAATCTGCACACACTAGGGCTTCAGCACCTAAGAGTTAGGGAATATCCAAGCACAAAAGTGAGAATACTCAGAGCTTGGGATGGAAGCTGAGTCCACAGATTAGGCCAGAGAAGTAGGAAGTTGGAGAGGATAAGAGCCAAAATGGCAGGGAGCTGACTTTGGAAATGCAGACACCCAGAAGAAGTGGAGTTGCCAAGGATGGATTTCTATAGCAATACCTTTATGAGGATAACACACCTTGGAATTGCAGTAGAACTTATATGTTCTGTGCTAAAATTCTCTTGAGGAGCTCAAGTTCTATTTTGCAGATCACTGTCTATCTACCAGTAGAATCAAATACTTTCTCAATGAAAGCTTTCCTGGATGGAAATATATAGGATTTCAACAGGTTAAGATCAAGTAATACACTATCACGGATCACCAAATACATGAGAGACAGCAAGTTATCTTGAATGAAGCCAATAAAAATAGTAAATATAGACAGCCCCTCCAAAAGATTGCAAATATTAGAATTCTCAGATACAAAATTTAAAATAACTATATAAAAAAGTTTATATACCTAAAATTTACCAGGATAAATAGTAAAATGAAATTTGAAAGGAATTAACAAACATTTTTAAAATCCAAAAATTAAAAAAATATATATAAATGACCAAATTTTAAACTCAGTGGAAGCATTACAACAGATTACATAGGTGAAAAAAGAACTGGAGAACTGAAAGATACATCTGAAAAATAATCCCAAGTAAATCAAATAAAGAGATAAGGAAATGGAAGATATCAAAGGAAAGTTAAGAGATATGGAAGATGGAAGGGAGACACAATTGGAATAAATGGAAGAGAGGCAATATGTAAAGACATAATGGCTGCAAATTTCCCAGAGAAGAAAAATATTTAATAAGTACAATATTCTCCATACAGAATAAATATAAATTTATGCATAGGATCATTGTAGTGAAACTGCAGACCACAAAGACAGCATTTTGAAAATACCCAGGGAGAAAGGAAAGACTAACAGCTAACTTTTCAATAGCAATAATAGAAGCAGTGGAATATTGCCTTCAGAGCACTGGAAAATAAAATGTCAACCTGAAATTGTGTAGGACGTAAACTTTTTTTAAGAATGAAATCAATTAAAATATTTTTTAAAGGAGGGTTTATGATCAAGGTCCTACTCTAAAGGAAGTGCTTCAAGAAGAAAGAAAATGATCCCCCAAGATGATCAAAGATACAAAAAAGGCTTGTGAGCAAATAAATGGTAAACACTTAGGTAAATCTAAATAAACCAAATCCATACATAGAAGCCTTTTTTTCTATGTTAAGTCAATAGAAATTCTGGACAACAGATGTAAGAAAATTGAGATAGAGAAGATCAGAGCTAAAGTATTCTATTGCGTTGTTGGGGTGTCTAGGTCTTCTTTGTTTTAACATGTTTATTGGAGTATAATTGCTTTACAAGGGTGTGTTAGTTTCTGCTGTATAACAAAGTGAATCAGCTATACATGTACATATATCCCCATATCTCCTCCCTCTTGCGTCTCCCTCCCACCCTCCCTATCCCACCCCTCTAGGTGGTCACAAAACGCCGAGCTGATCTCCCTGTGCTATGCGGCTGCTTCCCACTAGCTATCTAGTTTACATTTGGTAGTGTATATATGTCCATGCCACTCTCTCACTTTGTCAGGGAAGGGTAAGCTGGGTGTCAAGGTATTGATCAGTTAAATGTACAATCATAAAATGTCAAGGATATTCACTGAAAGAATATAGTGTGTATAAATTCCAAACCAAAGGTAACATGGTAGAAATCTAAATGTATAGCAATATAAATGGAGCAGACTCACTAGTTAAAACCAAGGTATAGATTTTTAAAAGGAAATCTGACTTTATAATGTTTACAAAAAGATAAATCTAAAACATATGTATGCAGAGAAGTTGAAAGTAAAAGTAGGAGGAAATACACATAATGCAAAAACCAATCAAACTAAAGCTATAGTAGCTCTATTTAATATCAAACAAAACTGATTTCAGACCCATCTTGAAAAAAATGTGTCACTTAGAGTGTTTCTACACAATGATAAAAGATTCAATTCACCAAAAAGCTATAATAATTCCAAGCATATATGTATTTAATAAAATAGTCTCTAAATACATAAAGCAAAAATTCTTACAGCTACTTTAAAAAACTAGCAAATATCCATCAGGGTGGAAGAATTCAACTCATTATTGGACAACAGACTTTCTAATCAGCAAAGATATAAAATGTTAGAAGAAAACAGTAAACTTGGCCCAGTGGACGTACATAGATTTCTGCCTCCAACAATTAAGGGATTCCACAGTTTTTTTCAAGTACATATGGAGCATTTACAAAAATTGAGCCATAAAACAAATGGCAGAAAATTACAGAGTATAGTTATACCAATTATATTTTCTACCTGCTTAGAACAAAAAGATTACATATATGTATATATATGTGTGTCTGTATATAAAGTATTTGAGAAAAAAATTTACCCTTTCAATAATGGAGAAAATGAAATAATAGTAATCATTAAATACTTATAACTGAGTAATAGTAAAAACATTGCATTACATACCAAAACTTGAGATGCAGCAAAAGTGGTTCTTCCAGGGAACTTTATAAACTAACTACTTATTAGAAAAAGGAAGGTTAAAAATGGATCAAATTGTTCAGTTTAAAAAGATAGGAGAAAAAAAAAAACACCAATAACCAAAGTAAATAGTAAAAACAGTCAATATAATAGAAACAAAAGCCAAAATCTTGTTCCTTTAAAATGCTAACAAAGTAGACACAGCTCTGAAAAGATGAAATGAGAGAAGGCATAAAAAATACTACCCATTATAAATGAAAATGCAAGTGCGAGAAAGATTTTTTAAAATTGAAACGAGGGCTTCCCTGGTGGCGCAGTGGTTGAGAATCTGCCTGCTAATGCAGGGGACGCGGGTTCGAGCCCTGGTCTGGGAGGATCGCACATGCTGCAGAGCAACTAGGCCCGTGAACCACAACTACTGAGCCTGCACGTCTGGAGCCTGTGCTCCACAACAAGAGAGGCGCGATAGTGAGAGGCCCACGCACCACGATGAAGAGTGGCCCCTGCTTGCCACAACTAGAGAAAGCCCTCGCACAGAAACGAAGACACAACACAGCAAAAATAATTAATTAAAATTGAAAGAAAATACTTCAACATAACACAAATAAATTTGAGAACTTAAAATAGTGCAGATAATCTTTGAAAACGATAAAAATACTAACCTAGAAAGAAATTAAAGACTGAATAATCTCATAACTATTAAAAAAAAATAAAAGCAGAAGTTAAAAGTCTTTCCATAGAAAGACTTTTTTTTATGTTGAGGAACGTTCCCTTTACGCCTACTTTCTACAGGGTTTTTATCATAAATGGGTGTTGAATTTTGTCAAAAGCTTTCTCTGCATCTATTGAGACGATCATATGGTTTTCCTCCTTCAGTTTGTTAATATGGGGTATCACGTTGATTGATTTGCGTATATTGAAGAATCCTTGCATTCCTGGAATAAACCCCACTTGATCATGGTGTATGATCCTTTTAATGTGCTGTTGGATTCTGTTTGCTAGTATTTTGTTGAGGATTTTTGCATCTATGTTCATCACTGATATTGGCCTGTAGTTTTCTTTCATTGTGACATCCTTGTCTGGTTTCGGTATCAGGGTGATGGTGGCCTCATAGAATGAGTTTGGGAGCGTTCCTCCCTCTGCTATATTTTGGAAGAGTTTGAGAAGGATATGTGTTCGCTCTTCTCTAAATGTTTGATAGAATTCGCCTGTGAAGCCATCTGGTCCTGGGCTTTTGTTTGTTGGGAGATTTTTAATCACAGTTTCAATTTCAGTGCTTGTGATTGGTCTGTTCATATTTTCTATTTCTTCCTGTTTCAGTCTTGGCAGGTTGTGCTTTTCTAAGAATTTGTCCATTTCTTCCAGGTTGTTCATTTTATTGGCATAGAGTTGCCTCGATCTCTCATGATCTTTTGTATTTCTGCAGTGTCAGTTGTTACTTCTCCTTTATCGTTTCTAATTCTGTTGATTTGAATCTTCTCCCCTTTTTTCTCGATGAGTCTGGCTAATGGTTTATCAGTTTTGTTTATCTTGTCCAATAACCAGCTTTTAGCTTTATTGATCTTTGCTATTGTTTCCTTCATTTCTTTTTCATTTATTTCTGATCTGATCTTTATGATTTCTTTCTTTCTGCTAACTTTGGCGTTTTTTTTTCTTCTTTCTCTAATTGCTTTAGGTGCAAGGTTAGATTGTTTATTTGAGATGTTTCCTGTTTCTTAAGGTAGGATTGTATTGCTATAAACTTCCCTCTTAAAACTGCTTTTGTTGCACCCCATAGGTTTTGGGTCGTCGTGTCTCCATTGTCATTTGTTTCTAGGTATTTTTTTATTTCCTCTTTGATTTCTTCAGTGATCACTTCGTTATTAAGTAGTGTATTGTTTAGCCTCCATTGTTGTATTTTTTACAGATCTTTTCCTGTAACTGATATCTGGTCTCATAGCGTTGTGGTCAGAAAAGATACTAGATACAATTTCAATTTTATTAAATTTACCAAGGCTTGATTTGTGACCCAAGATATGATCTCTCCTGGAGAATGTTCCATGAGCGCTTGAGAAAAATGTGTATTCTGTTGTTTTTGGATAGAATGTCCTATAAATATCAATTAAGTCCATCTTGTTTAATGTATCATTTAAAGCTTGAGTTTCCTTATTTATTTTCATTTTGGATGATCTGTCCATCGGTGAAAGTGGGGTGTTAAAGTCCCCTACTATGAATGTGTTACTGTCGA